CTAATGCCATAACTTATTTTTGAAGGAGTATGTAGTGATAGTTAAGATTAATGCTAAGCTATAACAAGGAGACCATAAGGAGACCTCAACATAAATATGTAGAATATATTTCTCTTTCACGTAATAGTCAAGAGTTAGATAGGCTCTGCAAGAAGGACCTGTTAGCTTTACTACCCTTTAGGAGGATGCCCTCGCTTATATTGTTGAAAGGGATTCACTAGTAATCTATCTCATTTCCATACCCATTTTTTACTTCTCTGAATAGGAGATAGAACAAGATAGGGGTGGGGGGTGGGAGGGAGAGACAAGCTGCAAGAGAGAGAGAGTGAGAGACTTTCACCCTCAAATACCTGCAACAGGCAGAGCGAGACCAGATGAAGGCCAGGAACCCAGAGCCCTTTTGGGTTTTCCATGTGAGTGAGAGAGACCCAAGTACTTGAGCCATCGATCTACTGCCCCCCAGTGTGCACACTAGGAAGCTGAAATCAGAAACAGAGCCAGAACTTGAAGCCAGGCACTCGGATATGGGATGCTAGTATCACAAGTGGCATCGTAACTGCTGTACCAAATGCCTGCCCCACACCCATTTTTAAGGGTATACCCAATCAGTTTTAATGGCAAGATCCAGAAATTGCACATATTATTTTATTTCTTATTGTTAAGGATTTTGATATATATCCAGACTGTACTGCATGAAGGTTGGGAAATAAATTCTATAGCTGATATACTATAGGCTCAGTTAAAATTTAAGGAGTTCTATTATGAAAAAAGTAGTGGAGAATGGATACTGAAGTGAGTAAAGGAGAAGAAATCTGTTCATTTTGCCTCTTTGGCCATCCAAATATCCATGTCCTCCTTTCTCATATTTAAATCCTATCTACTTCTCAAAGATAACAACCTAAAGTACTCTGAGTATATGCTTATTGGAGGCTGTACTACTTTCTCACTCTGCTTCTTGTTGGTGCAAATTTGGCTCCCAGACTATGTTATACTATGTTATACAGTCTATGTTAGGATTGTGTGTGTGTGTGTGTGTGTGTGTGTGTGTTTAAATAGAGTTACTTCAAAAGTATAGGTTTCTATTCTGTTTTCCTCCAGTCACTTATATGTGAAATTATAACAGCCAAAGATCTCATTTGGTCATAGTTGTTAAGTCTATAGACTTGTTCACCAACTAGTTATAGTTATTTCCTTCATACCAGCCAACTCCCCTTCAATTTAATGACTGCTGTGCAGTGGCTACACTATAGTTGCTCTAACAAAGCTTAAAAGCAAGATGAAATTGATGAAATTGAACAAGAAGTATTTAATAATCTAACAAAACAAAATTTAACACTCCTTAAAGGAAGACTACAAAATCTGCACATTCAACAACCAAATAGTCATAGTGTTTATTATATGTGCACATACTGTATTAATATTTGTATTATATAAAACCAGCTGCTAGATTTATGTGCATATGCATTTATGTATATTCATGTATATTTATATGTGTATAATTACTAGACATATGAATAAATAGGAGAAATATAATAGAAACAGATTTGGAAAAGTCAGACATGACATTATCAAAGAGTTAATAATAACTATTATAAACATACCCAAGGACTTAAGAGGAAAACACGAGAATGAGAGATGTTAAAGGAACAACAGTGAGCCATTGAATATTCAGAGGTAAGAAATACAGTAGCTGAAATGAAAACTCTTCTAGCGTAACAGACTAGATGTTGAGAAGCAATCAATAAATGAAAATTACCAGTGACTTCTCATCAGAAGGTGTGTGGGCCAGATAGGGTGACACAGTAAATACTGAGAGCGAAAAAAAAAACAGTCTACCTAGAATTCTGTAACCAGTGAAATGATATGTTAGACAACAAAGACAAAGTGACATTTCAAGGTAAGCAAAAGCTGAGAAAGTTGTCAGTATACATACACTAAAGAAATTTTAAATTATCATCTTCAGGCTGATAGAATATCATAGTGGGTGAAAACAAAAGAAAGAAGAAATGTAAATTTGTGGATCTGAAATATGCAGAAATTAAACCACACCTTTCCAAATCACTCATGGATCAAGAAGAAATCAAAACATATAAAATGTTTTGAACTAAATGACATTTAAGCACATAAAAATTTGGAGGATCCAGCAACTAGAAGCAGGTGCTAATATGAAAATTTTTGGCTATGATTGTTTATATTTGAACAGTGTAAAGTTTATGATCTAATTCTCCCACTTAAGAAGTTATATCAGTAGCAAATTAGACCCAGAACATCTTAAAGGAGAAAAGAGTAGAAATTGATGAAACATAAAACATAAAAGCAATGGAGAAAATCAGTAAGACCAAAATTTTGTTACTTGAAAATATTAGCTAATTAGAAACCTTTGGCTCTATTGTCCAGCAAATATCCCCAGCAACAGAAATCATCACTATAGAGGTCATAGGAATTAATAATTAGAATACCATGAGCAACTGCATTCCAATACATTTACCTATTTAGGTTAAATAGACTCAGTTATTTCAAATAAATTATCCAGATGTGGCACCTCAGCCTTGGACATCTAGAACCATGAGCCAAAGTAAACCTCTTATAAAGTTACACACTCTCAGGTATTTTGCTACAATACAAAACAGACACAAAGACCAACATGCTTATACCAGGGACAGGATTGTTTTAATATTTTTAAAAAAATCAGTCAAAAAAGGGAAAACAATAGGTAGTAATTTTTATAGATATAAAAAGATTTTTGACAAAATTCAGACCCACTCACAGTAAAACTAGCAAACCAAGAATAGATGGAAACGTTAATCTAATAAAGGACATTTACCAAAAAATCTACAGCTAACATTATATTTAATGATAGGAGACTAAAAGCTTTCTCGGTAAAATTAGAGAGAAGATAAGGATGTCTACTAAATTTTTTTTGAAGATTTGTTTATTTTACTTGAAAGGCAGAGCTACAGAGAAGCAGAGGCAGAGGCAGAGGGAAGGCAAAGAGAGAGAAAGATCCTGCATCCACTGGTTCACTCCCCAAATGACCGTAATAGCCAGAACTGGGCCAATCCAAAGTCAGGGAGCCAGGAGCTTCCTCGGGGTCTCCCATGTAGGTGCAGGGGCCCAAGAACTCAGGACATCCTCCACTGCTTTCCCAGGCTATAGTACAGAGCTGGATTGGAAGTAGAGCAGCCGGGACTCGAACCGGTACCCATATGGGATGCTGGCACTGCAGGCAGCAATTTTACCTGCTACACCACAATGCCGGCCCCAGGATGTCTATGACTGTAACATACTGGAATCACCAACCAGTGCAATAAATAAAAAATTAAATTTGAAGCTAACCTAATAATATAAATAGTAAATCCTAAAGATTGTACAAGAAAAATACTAAAACTCAGGTGAATTTAGCAGAATCACAGTATATGAGATTGAAGTATAAAAATCAATTGTATTTCTATATACTGGCATCTAAATATTTTATGGATATAATATATGCTAATATCCATAAATATGAAATACATAGAGGTAATTTTTTCAAAGTGTACAAAACATAGCTGAGAGAAATTAATACCATATATACTGACTGGAAGAATCAGTGTTGTTAAAATATCAACTGTCCACCAATAGATCATAGATTTGATACAATGCTATTGAAAGTGCTATTATTCACACACACATATACACACACACACACACACACACATATATATATGACTTTATTCAAAAAGACTTTTTTTTTTTTTTTTGCCAGGCAGAGTTAGTGAGAGAGAGAGACACAGAGAGAGTTATAGACAGTGAGAGAGAGAGACAGAGAGAAAGGTCTTCATTACGTTAGTTCATTCCCCTAATAGCCTCTACAGCCGGTGCTGCGCCGATCAGAAGCCAGGAGCTGGGTACTTCCTCCCGGTCTCCCACTTGGGTACAAGGCCCAAGCACTTGGGCCATCCTCCTCTGCCCTCCTGGGCCACAGCAGAGAGCTGGACTGGAAAAGGAGCAACTGGGACTAGTACCCGGCGCCCCAACCGGGACTAGAACCCAGGGTGCCGGCACCACAGGCAGAGGATTAGCCAAGTGAGCCACGGCACCGGCCTCAGAAAGACTTCTTAATATATAAAAAGTACTAACCATAAAAGGAAAATTTGATAATTGAGCTTCATCAAAATTTGAATCATTTTTTCTAAAAAGACACCATTACAAACATGATAGGCAAGATATAGAATCAAAGTGGTTCTAATATATATAGTCATATATAGAACTATCAAAAATAATACGATAACCCAGTTAAATGTGGGTGAAATATTTGAATAGGCATTTTTTTATCAAAGGATGCTGTAAACTCTTATAAAGCATGAGATGCTTGTGAAATGATGCTGTACATCACAGATTGAACACTATGGCCCAGTAGATCAAATCTGGCCCACAAAATATTTTGTAATTTTTGTCTATGTAAATGATTATTGGAATACAGTCATGTCTGCTCATGTATGTGTCATCTATGGCTGCTTTCATGTTACAGTGGCAGAACCAAGTAGTTGTTCCAGAGCGTGTGGTCTGCAGTGCCTAAAACAGTTACATTTGCCTCTTTAGAGAAATAGTTTGCCAACTCCTGGTCTAAAGAAACCAAATTTAAGAAAGGGTAAGCTCTTCTAGGTGAGGAAACATCAGTGGAGATGGTTGCTCTAATTTTTCCCCCAAAACAAACTATTATTAGTAGTAGTAGTATTACTAATATTATTTTGAAGTTGTCATTTTTCACAACTAGATCTTCTATTTTGGATTTCAGTTATAATTCTATTAGCAAGCTAACAAAATCTTTGTTAAAGGCAAAATTAATGTATACTTGTCTCTTGTTCAGTCTTGGAAATACAAGATATAATTTGAAAGTTCTGTCTTATCCTAAAGAGCCACACTTTAAGGTTGAAACAAAGATGTAGGTCTGTGATGCCAACAAGTAGTACCAAAAGAACTACATATAAAATCACTAAGTTTAAGCAGTTTATACTTACTTCCTTCAGCAAAGTAAGTGGTGACTGCATGGAAACAAGGATGTGGATTGAAGGCATATGCTGCTATCTCTTTGAGGGATTGACTGATTTCTCCTACCCCACTCAAAATGACTTGATCTTTCCTAGAGGTAGGAACCCCACCTTACAGTCAACATGCGCTGCTCTGTGGTCCGTTCAGCACACTGCACAAACTTGCAGGGAGTCAGTGTTCTTAGTGGTGTGGCAGACCAGGTTCATATGCTAATTGGCAAGTCTTGACATTCTGGATATGACTCACAATCCTATGGGTTCATTGTTGCATCAGCTGTGTTCTGATTGGCTACACTATAAATTATGTAGTCATTACATCATTGATTATATAAATTGTTTACATAAAACATGTTTTAACTTTGAGATACAAGAGGTATTAATCTTTGAGCAAATTATCCATATGCATATCTAGCATGTTTACAACTTTAATTATTTCTGAAAAAAAGATGTTTTCAAGCATGGAAACCTTTTTGGTAGGGATGATTGTTTATCATTTTTAATCATCGCCAACAGTTTAATTCACTTCTATTAAAATATATAAGTAATCCCTTGCAGAAAATTCATTATATACATCACAAAGTCCCCAGCATGATTCAGTTTACTTAAATTTAATACTGTTGTTTATGTTAGTATAATTAGTTAATGAGTAGACATAAACATATTTATAATCCTCATTTCAGTATCAGAATATCTATAAGTGCAGTAATGGGGCTGGTGCTGTGGCATCGTGGGTTACAATATGGGCATTGGTTTGAGACCCTGCTGCTCCACTTCACATACAGCTTACTGCTAATGTGTCTGGGAAAGCAGCGAAGGATGGCCCAAGTGCTTGGGCCCCTGCACCTGAATGAAGCTCCTTCCTCCTGGCTTTGATCTGACCCAGTCCTGTCCATTGCGCCTGTTTGGGGAGTGAACAAGTGGATGGACGTCTTTTCTCTCTGCCTCTGCCTGTCTCGTTCTCTGTAACTCTGCCTTTCAAATAAATAAAATAAACCTTTTTTAAAAAAGTGCAGTAATATGAGCTGCATGAACATTTTCCTTTTTTTCTCTGTTGTATTTCACCATTAGGTGATCATCAATTTGATAACCAAGCAAAATTACATGTTATAGGGAAATTTCCCAGCTGGAGCAAAAACTTGTTGAAAGAATGTATAAGATGATCTTTGATTTCTCTATGCTTGCTTCTATACCACACTTCTACAAGTTCTGGCACCTTTAAACTAGAACTTGAATCCATCTTCTTCCCTACATATCTTTTTGTTAGAATCACCCCTCTCCCCGGTCTAAGCCATTTTTATCATCATTGTTTTAGTCAGAATAGGCTGTTAGAGTCACAGACTAGTTTCCTTATCTTAGTTATTTAACACAGTGGAGGTCTACTCTGACTTAACGACCATTGCGGTTTGGGGTGTGATCCTCCTCTTATACTTCCCGCACTAGTAGTTTTGAGGATCCTCTGGAAATGACAATGTCATTTTTTCTCACAGCCCATTAGTCTGAACTAGTCACATGCCTCCAACCCAAGTGCAAGAAAAGCTAGGAAACGTAGAGCAGCACATGTAATATTTGAAGACCACTATTTCCTGTACTGTTCCATGTCCAAATTATTTTAGTTACATTTTTGTTGGTTTGCTTATTTCCTCTCATATCCCACTGGAATATTTTTCCTACCTAGTAGCCAGAGTGCCTGGAAAAACATTTTTGTTACTGTGTAGCCAGTAGTTTGCATTTTTATGCTAAAAATCCAAACATTTCACTCTCACCTGTTGAAAGTACTACTTAGTATGGCCCTTTCCTTCCTCTCCAATTTCATGATTGTTATTTAGGTTACTGTTATCTACAGATAGTACATTTTGAATAGACATTCTCTATTTTATCTATATTAATGAAAACGTGATTTTTTGGTATCAAATGTACAAGGTCACAATAATTAAACCAAATGATTAATAACATCAGCAGAAGTATCAATTTATATGGTATCTTCAATCACATTATATGCAATTTCAGAATTTTAAAAAATAGCCTTTGGGGGACAGGCATTTAGCCTAGCAGTTAAGATGCCTGCATCCCCCACTTCGGCGTGCCTCAGTTAGATGCCAGGCTCCAACCCCTTACTCCACCTTCCAGACAGTGCAGGCCCTTAGAAGCAGCAGTGATGGCTCACATGGTGGGATTCCAGCCATCCATGTAGGAGACCTGGGTTATGTTGCCAGCTCCCAACTTCAGCCCAATACAAGTTACCTGTTGCTGGCATTTGGGGAGCAAACCAGTGGTTAATAATGCTTCGTCTCTGTGTTTTTCTCTGGCTCCATCTCTCTCTCTCTCTCTCTCTCTTTCTCTCTTTCTCTCTTCCCCTCGCCCCCTCCCTCTCAAATAAATAAAAATTTAAACACACTAAAAATAAAAGTAGCCTTTTGGAAATACTGATATAAAATCCTGTTAAAATGAATACATTCTATATAGTAAAGTTTTCATAATTGTTTTCTGTTTCTTTGATAGCAAACAATCTTAAAATTATGTTTTCTCTGGCTAGAGTTTATATAGAAGACATTCCATTATAGTTAAATGTATTTTTAATTGATAAAGTTTAGCTTTTGGAGTACTTTTAGGTTCACAGAAAACTGAGTGAAAAGTACAGAATGTTCCAGTATACCCTGGGTGTACAACCTCCCCTACTATCAACATCCCACACCAGTGTGGTTTTTTTTGTTACAAGTTACCTATACTGAAACATCATAATAATTCATAGTCCATAATTTACCTTAGGGTTTACAATTAGTGTTGTATATTCTGTGAATTTTCACAATAAATACATTTTGACACATTTTAAAATAAAGTTCATGTTTTTCATTAAGTAGTTTTTGCTCTCCATTTATATCTTCAATTTCTGTCCTATTTTCCTGTAGTAATCTGCATTTCCTGATTATCACACACACACACACACACACACACAATCAATTCAAAATAGTTGTCTATTGAAGTGGTTTAGAAACTTCATAAAGTAAATGATTTGTGATCCCACAAACTATGGATCAGAATGATGGTCCTACCAAAAGATAGAGGAACCAGAAGAAGCTCTAGGTTTCAATCCTTATTTTCCAATATATAAAAGAAAGGTTTATACAAATACTTCGTGATCTCTGAGTTGTGAATCCTGGGCATGACAAGATTTATGTCGTAATAAGCCTTTCAAGATCTATATGCTTGGCATGCTTATTTGAAATGCAGCAGAGAATATGTTTTGACAATTTCTTTAATTTGATTTTAAGTCTTTAATTAGCTAATAGTGATGCCTGTTTTACCAAATAAAAATTACATATATTAAAACTGAGTATAGGGCCGGGGCCGCGGCTCACTAGGCTAATCCTCCACCTTGTGGTGCTGGCACACCGGGTTCTAGTCCCAGTCGGGGCGCCAGATTCTGTCCCGGTTGCCCCTCTTCCAGGCCAGCTCTCTGCTGTGGCCAGGGAGTGCAGTGGAGGATGGCCCAAGTACTTGGGCCCTGCACCCCATGGGAGACCAGGATAAGTACCTGGCTCCTGCCATCGGATCAACATGGTGTGCTGGCCGCGGCGGCCATTGGAGGGTGAACCAATGGCAAAGGAAGACCTTTCTCTGTGTCTGTCTCTCTCTCGCACTGTCCACTCTGCCTGTCAAAAAAAAAATGTAAAGGGAGTTCAAAAAGTTCATGGACAACCAAAGAAGAAATAAAAAATGTATGTTGTATAAATAAAATATATAATTAAATGTTTAACAAAAAAATTGAGTACATTAAGTATATTATGGATTTAGATATAGTTCAAATGGCAAATGCAATACTTGGCATCTACTTACATATAAAAAAGCCTCATGCAATAGTTTTTGCATGGTGTTATAGTGTCATTTGTGTTTCTTTATTGGTCTCTCCCTAGTTCAATCCTTCAGCATTAATAAAGTATTAAGTAGCAGAGGGATTATACTATTAATTGGATATATAATTGTGAACAAAAACAGATATTTATTGGTTAGAAAGGTAAGGAAATGAAACCTTTTTCTTTGTATATGAAATCACTCTGCGATTCTTTTATGTAACTAGATGTTCTTATTTTCATTTGTATTTTATGAAAGGTGTCAAGGAAGTTATTAAGCAGTCTCTTTGAAAACTTGATTGCTTTTTTGCTTAGACTGACAGTGTTTGTCTTCTTCACAGTAACTGTAGTACTGAATGGAAGTGGCTTGTAGACAGAGCAAGAGTTGGCAGCCGATGGACTTGGCTTCAAGCCCAGATTTCAGAGCTAGAATACAAAATCCAACAACTAACCGACATTCACAGGCATATTCGTGCTTCCAAGGTATTTTCTGTGTTCTACTTTTGTTAAAAATTGTTATTGTTTGTATACTTTCTTGTCTTTCATCAAAGTAATTGTTGCAATTTTTAAAAAAATATAGCAAGTTTATGTTAAGATATTTGATATATTCACATATTGAAGCTATCTTTATGCTGTCTTTGTATTTACCAAAATAATTTTATCATACTTTCTGAGAAATTCAAAACTTCTCAGTCGATTCCAGTTAGTATAAATTATATCCATTTCTTCCAAATTTTTTATTATGGTAAAATACAAATAACATAAAATTTATCACAGTTTGGTTTAAATACATTTATAGTGTTATGCATCCATCACTATACATCTCTATGACTTTTCATCTTGTAACATAAAACTCTGCACCTCTTAAACAATAATTATCCATTTCCTTCTCTCTCCAACCCTTGGCAACTATGTTTGTCTCCATGATTATTATTATTTTAAGTTCCTCATGTAAGTGGAGCCATAAGTGTATTTGTCCTTTTGTGACTGGCTTATTTCACTTAGCATAATATCCTCAAGTTTTGTACATATTTTTGCATATATTAGAATTTTGAAAACATCTTAAGGTAGAATAGTATTCTAGTGTAGGTACACTCCACATTTTGCTATCCATTCATCCAGTGATGGACATTTGGGTTACTTCAACATATCAACTTTTGTGACAATGCTATGAATATGGATATAAAAAAATATATTGGGGCCAGTGCTGTGGCATAGCGGGTAAAACCACCACCTGCAGTACCAGCATCCCATATGGGCACCAGTTTGAGTCCCAGCTGCTCCACTTCCAATCCAGCTCTCTGTTATGGCCTGAGAAGGCAGTGGAAGATGGCCCAAGTGCTTGGGGTCCTATACCCACATGGGAGACCCAAAAGAAGCTCCTGACTCCTGGCTTCGGATGGGCCCAGCTTCAGCTGTTGTGGCCATCTGGGGAGTGAGCCAGCAATGGAAGACTTTCTCTCTCTCTCTCTCTCTCTCTCTCTCTCTGTCTTTCTGTATCTCTCTCTCTTTCCCCCTCTTTCTCTGCCTCTCTATAACTCTGCCTTTTGAATAAATGAATAAATATTTTAAATAAAGAAAAAAATATGTATCTTAGAAACATAATATTCAGTTCTTTGAGAATATACACAGAAATGGAATTGCTGGATTATGTGGTAATCCTGTTTAAAAAAATTTTGTAGAGCAACCATACTATTTTTCTAAGTAGATATACTGGTTTGCATGCTACCAACATTGTACAATATTTTTACCATCTCCACATTCATTATAGTTTTGATTGGCATTTCCCTAGTGATTAATCATAGTGAGCATTTTTTCATGTACTTATTTACCATTTATATGTCCTATCCCATATTGTCTGCTAGGCCACAATGCAGACCCTCTGTATTTTCATTTTCATTCGCATCTAAGTGTCTTCTAATTTCACTTGGATTTATTCTTTATTTTTTTTGTTAATTTTTACTAATGTGAGAATTTTCCTGTTTTTGATTTCTGACTTCATTCTGTTGTGGTTGCAGAAGATACTTTTATGATTTTTTGTATCTATTGAGATTTAATTTATGGCTTGATATATGTTCTATCCTAGAGCATGTTTCATGTTCACTTGGGGAGTAATATGTATGTTGTTGAGAAAGAGTGTTCTCTACATGTTAAGTCTAGTTGATTTATTGTGTGAAATCCCTATCTTCTAACTTCTATCCATTATTAAATGTAGTAATAGAAGTCTCCAACTATTATTGTAGAACTTTGATTTCTCCCTTCAATTTTATCAGCTTTTGCTTTATAAGAGTATGTTTTGTTGGTCTGTTATTAGCTGTGCGAATATTTATAGCTTATATTTTCTTGCTGTATTAAACCTTCATTAATATATATTGCCCTCCTTTGTCTCTTTGACTATAAGTCTCTTTTCTCTGGTAGTTATAGCTGTAACCACTCTCTTTTGGTTACTATTTGCTCAGGGCATCTTTTTCCATCCTTTGATTTTCGGTGTATTTGTGTCATTGGATTTTTTGTTAAATATTTATTTTTATTTATTGGAAAGGCAGAGTTGCGGAGAGAGGGACACACACACACACACACACAGAAAGAGAGAGAGAGAGAGAATCTTCCAATAACTGATTCTTTCCCATGTGGCCACAGTTGCTGGAGCTGAACAAGGCCAAAGAGAGAAGTCTAGAACTCCATCCAGATCTCCCACGTGGGTGGCAGGGACCCAAGTACTTGTTCCATCTTATACTGCATTTCCAGGCACTTAAACAGGGAGCTAGATCAGAAGTGGAGCAGCTAGAGCTCCAGTCAGTATTTACAGGGATGCCAGCATCACAGGCGCTGGATTAACCTGCTGCAACCACGACACTGGCCCTCTTGTGTCCTTGGATTTAAAGTAATCTCTTGTAGACTGTATAGAGTTGGATCATGTGGTTTTGTTTTTGTTTTTGTTTTGTGGTGTTTTTTTTTTTTGGATCATGTTTTTATCTGTTCTTCTAATATCTGTTTTTTGATTTGAGAGTATAATTCATTTACATTCAAAGTAAACCTGATAAATTTGGGTTTTTTTGTTGTCATTTTGCTACTTGTCTTCTATATGTCCTATAATCTTTTGTTACTCATTTCATAAATTTCTGTGTTAGTTTTTTTAGAAATAAAATATTGATATTTAATTCTCTTTTTCTGTTATATATATTCAGTAGTTATTTTCTTTGTGGTGATGATATTTTATATTATAAGGGCATCACATTTAATTTGAATTTATATCAGTTTAACTTTTTTTTTTTTTTTGACAGGCAGTGTGGATAGTGAGAGAGACAGAGAAAGGTCTTCCTTTTTGCTGTTGGTTCACCCTCCAATGGCCGCCACAGCTAGCACGCTGCGGCCGGCGCACTGCGCTGATCCGAAGCCAGGAGCCAGGTGCTTCTCCTGGTCTCCCATGGGGTGCGGGGCCCAAGCACTTGGGCCATCCTCCACTGCCTTCCCGGGCCACAGCAGAGAGCTGGCCTGGAAGAGGGGCAACCGGGACAGAATCTGGCACCCCGACCGGGACTAGAACCCTGTGTGCCGGCGCCATTAGGTGGAGGATTAGCCTATTGAGCCGCGGTGCCGGCCATCAGTTTAACTTTAAAAACATAGAAAACATCTGTTCCCATGCAAATTTGTCTTCATTGCTCTTTGTTATTACTGTCACAAAATTATAACCTTATATCTTTTGTGCCCCCCCAAACACAATGTCTTCTGACATTATGTCTTTTAAATTATATAGAAAACAAAACATGGGGTTACAAAGCAAAGTTATAATACTTTTAATTTTAAAAAAATTTTGAAAAGATTCATTTTATTTATTTGAAAGAGTTACAGAGAGAGGGAGAGTGAGGGAGAGAGAGAGAGAAAGAGAGAGAGAGAGTGAGAGAGAGAGAAAAAAAAAAAGAAAGAGAAGTGTTCTGTCCACTGAGAGAGAGGTGTCCCATCTGCTGGTTCACTCCCCAAATGGCTGCAGTGACCAGAGTTGAGCCAATCAAAAGCCGAGTCAGGTCTTCCAGGTTTCCCACATGGGTGCAGGGACCGAAGAATTTGGGCCATCCTCTGCTGCATTCCCAGGCACGTTGGCAAGAAGCTGGATCGGAAGTGGAGCAGCCAAGATTCGAACTGGTGCCGATATGGGATGCCAGTGCTGCAGGCCATTGCTGCACCACAGCACTGGCCCTGATAATGATTTTTTTTAAATGTGTTTATGTCTTAATTACTATAGAAAACTAAAAGTTGCATTATAAACCATTATTTTATTAGCTTTTATAATTGCCTATGTTTTTACCTTCATAGTTTTTTAATTTCTTCATATCGCTTTAAGTTACTATCTAGTATCCTTTTATTTTACCTGGTAGGACTCCCCTTGAGCATTTCTGATAGTGCAGGTTTAGTAGTAACCAACTCCCTGGGACCATCGCTGTGGTGTAGCAGGTAAAGCTGCCACCTGCAGTCCCAGCATCCCATATAGGTGCTGGTTCCTGTCCCAGCAGCTCCACTTCTGATCCATTTCTCTTCTATGGCCTGGGAAAGCAGTAGAAGATGGCCCAAGTCCTTGGGCCCCTGCACCTGCGTGCGAGACCTGGAAGAAGCTCCTTGCTCCTGGCTTTGGACCAGCACAGCTCCAGCCATTGTGGTCATCTGGGGAGTGAAACCAGCAGATGAGAGACCTCTCTCTCTGCCTCTCCTTTTCTCTGTGTGTAACTTCCACTGTCAAATAAACAAATCTTAAAAAAAGAGTAGTAACCAGCTCCCTCAACTTCTGTTTATCAGAGAATGTCTTAATTTCTGCCTTGTTTTTGAAGGATATTCTTGCCAAGTTCAGTAGTCACCATATATTACATGACCTTCAGCGGATGCCCTGAAACTGCAAATAATATTGAACCTTCAATATATTATATTTTTCCTATATACACATCCCTATGTCAAAGCTTAATTTATAAATTGGGTACCCTGAGAAATTATCAATAAATGATTATAAAATATAATTATAACTTTCTGATCTAATAGAAGCCGTGTAAATATGGTCTCTTTCCCTTCCTCTCCATCTTTCAAAATTTCTTACTGCTTTTATTGTATGTACTCACACTTCTTGTGATCATGTGAAATGATATTTAAGAAAGTACCTTGCAGTTTCCTTTCCAATTTCAAATTACCAACGACATTATTTTTGTGCTCTGAGGCCACTGTTAGGCAAAATAAGGGTTACTTGAATACAAGTCCTACAGTACAGCCGCAGTTGATCCGATAACTGAGATGACTGCCAAATGACTAATTTGTTGTATGCAGTGTGGATATTCTGGACAAAGGGATGATTCATGTCAAAGGCAGGATGGAGCAGGATAGCACAAGATTATGTAACACTACTCAAAATAGTATACAATTCAAAATTCATGAATTGTTTTTCTGAAATTCTCTATTTAAAAATTTCAGATTGCAGTGGACTGCAGGTAACTGAAACCATG